ATATATGAGGCTTCCATGGCTTCTGTGATTCCAAACACATCAGCTGATGGTAGTTCCTTATGTTGGGATCAATGTCCCTGAAGTTTAGTCGTAATGTTTCCCGGGTAAAGGTGATGCATCCTGTAGAACTGGTGTGTAGATAGACTTTTCTTGACCAGAGGGCCGCAGGCCTGAGGGCTTGAACGAATGTCGCGTGGGTTTTGTGTCTTTGATTACCTGGGGAGATGGGAGGGGTCTGAGGTTGGCCTCTAAGCTGCCCAGCCTTCAGCTAGTCGGATGCCTAACCCCTCCTCTGAGCGGCCTGCCAGAACGAATGTGGCGCGGTTTTTGTGTCTTCGATTTCTACCTTTAGCAAACAAATGGGAGTTAAAGACACAGAAGAGAGTGAAAGGTTCCCTAGTAAGAACATACCACACAGTAGGCATTCAGATGTGCCACCAAGCATCGGTAGCAGGATTGGGGCCAGTAAGCCCTTTTAAGATCCCTCCAACAATGAGATTCTAAACCATATGCAGATACTCAAGATTGTTAGGGAGCAAAGCATTCTTAGATACAGAAAAGAAAAAGAGTAATTGTTATCCTCCCACTGGTAGGCTTTTTATAAGAAGGATTGATACAGGCTTGCAAGGTCCCCCCCAGTGAATGAAAGGACATGTAAGAGCAAGCAGAATAAAAATATAAGACCAAGTTTTTCAAGAAATAGCTAGAAATCTTTGCAAATTTCTGAAATTGTTCATCTTTCCCCAAATCCAGTGAGTTAAGTAGGACAAGTATTATCAGCTCTATTTTTATATCAGAAAGTACTGGAATACAAAAAGATGAAATGGACTGCCCAGGCTCATGAAATAAATGAAGACTGTAGCAGTGATGAAGAAAGACATCAGTGTCCTGATTGCTTTCAGCCCAGGGGTCTTGGCACCAAAGCACATTGCTTTTCCTCCCTTCTCTTGGGAATAGAGCCCAAATATCCAAAAGTTTGCATGCACATGACCAAATAGGGAATGCACAAGCAACTGCAATATTATCTCAGTTAGTTATTAATACTTCATCATTATTCCTGGATCTGAGCATTTGGTTTCCATATCTATTCAGTCTTTGACCTACCTCTTAAATTTATTTGCAGCTGGGAAAATAGTAAGTCATTTAATAATATGAACACCTCTTTGCTAAGAATGTGAGAAAGCTCACTTGACATGGGCCCTTAATACTACTTATTGGTATTGTGCCTGAAATTGTACTTCCTTGTGTTGCTTTTTTAAAGAAAAGAGTGAGTTCAGGAGTTCAAGAGTTCAGGTCTGTACAATTACCCCACAGGCCAGTATAAAAAAAAAAAGATAAGTGTGCTAGCACTTGTTTCATTTCCATGTAGAGAAATATTTGTTTACTTGAACTATTTCCAAAGATAGCAATTTGGTAGGAGAGGAGCAAAAAAAAAAATAGAGTATAATGGGAAACTAGAGAATTCTGTGGGGTAGCTATAGATCAAGAAGGAGGATAAAATCTACCAATATTGTTGTCATTGATGTTAGGTGCTGTCAAGTTGAGTACAACTCATAGCGACCCAAAGAACAATTGATCTGAACCCTGTTCTATCCTATGCCATCTTCACAGTCTCCAACATTGCTGCAGTCACTGTGCCAATTCATCTGGTTGAATGTCTTCTTCTCTTGCACTGAACCTCCAGCTTTCCAAGCAATAGCCCTTCCAAGGAATAACTTCTAGCAACATACCCAAAGTATGTAAGTCGAAGCTTTATCATTTTAGCCTCCAAGAAGGACTCTGTCTTCACCTTCTCCAGGACATATCTGTTTGTTCTTTTGACAGTCCATAGATTTTCAGATGCTTCACCAATACCACAGCTTAAAAGCATCAGTTCTTCTGTCATCCTTATTCACTGTCCAGCTCCCAAATTCATAGCAAGTGATAGAAAGACCATAGTCTGAATCAGGCACACTTTAGTCCTCAAATTGACATAATTTCTCCTCAGTGGGTTACTTAGCTTTCTAATAGGGAGTTCTGGTGGCCTAGACGGTAAGGTGTTGTGCTGCTAACACAAAGACAGACAGTTCAAATCCACTAACTGCTCTGCAGGAGAAAGAGAGCTATCTCTTCCCAAGTGATTTATAGCCTCTGAAAACCTGCCAGAGGGTCAGCTATGGATTGCTTCCAATTTGAAAGTAATGGCTTTGAGGGTTTTTTTGTAAGCTCTGTAATTAGTCTGTTATTATGTGCTTTACATATGACAAAATTTAACAAGAGTTTTTTATGCAGCAGATATTGGGGGGAGAGAAGTATTTTTTTATAAGAAAGAACACTTTATAAACCTAGGAACTATTTTTTTAGACCAGTACCTTTAATACTGCTTAAATAAGACTCTTGTCAGAATTAAATGTAATATTAAGTGAAAATATATTTGAATTTAACAAATTTAATAAATCCAGCTGAATATGAAAATCCTACATTCAAGAAAAATGACTTAAATTAATTGGCCAAAAGAATACACGTGTAAACAAGGAATCCTTAGTCATAATTTTCTTCTCTAATCTTGTGGAATCAATTGTAGAGACAACCTTGGGGCAGATTGACAAGTGCATGAATAAGTTAATGAAGATGGGAATGTTGACAGGTATAAAGGGAAGGCATTTAATTTCTGGTTTAGGATTTCATAATTTCTTAGATTACTTTAGGCTTTCCCTTTCCATAATATCATCTGCTGGGAGTTAGCACCAATTTTGTCTCATTTCTTTTGCTTTCAGAGGAAAGGCAATATAAAACTAGAAAACTATAGAGTGTACATTCAAGTTAGGACAAGTTTAAGTTCTTGCAATAATTTCTATATCATATATATATATATATTTGTGGAAAGCACTTTCTGTATATAAGTGTTTCTGTTTTCATTTCTGATTAGAATGTATTTGTGTGTGTGTGTGTGTACCCTAACTTTGCTTTATTACATAGCTTTTATCATTTTGCTATATTTGTTTTACTTTAAAATAATGTCTCATCATCTATATTCTAGAACCCTAAAAAGAAAGAATAAAACAACAGGAAAAAGAAAAGATTAAAACTGTGATAAAGACCTAACTGGGTAGGTATTTCATGGAGTGTACTATAAATTATATATACTTTTTAAAATTAGCCTCTTAAAAACTAATAACTACTTTTCAGTAGGAAGTAGCTAAGAGAATACACCATCCCCTTTTCCTTATGAATCAGGATGAAGTCTCTCTCAGGGAGGAGTGATAGGGAATGGCAAAGGACACACTGACAAAGGAGATTAATCAGAACTGGCTTTGACAAGCACTGTGGCAATTGGACAATTAAAACAGACATTCGGGGGGGAAAAAGAAGAACAAACTGGGGAGGAGGGTAGAGAAAATAGTGCAACAATGAATGAATGAAAACCCAAAATCTCTGTAAATGTTCATTAAAACTAATAAAATTTAATAACTAAAAAAACATAAAAAACTAATAACTAGAAAAATTATAGTTCATTCATGTACACACCAGAAATATTTTATGATTTTTTTTTGTTAGGTACCTTCATGTCGACGTAACCCATGGTGACACCATCTAACAGAGTAGAACTGCCCATAGGATTGCCAGGTTTTTTTCCTGGGGAACCACTGGGAGGACTCAAATCATTAACTTTTTGGTAGCAGCTAAACGCTTAACCATCATGCTATCAAAGTTCCTTATTTTAAGTTCTACTGGATTTTTTAAAAATTTTATTACACATATAACAATGTATGCCTCAAAAGCACTTTTGCAGGGGCTTTTTCATCCCTCTGGGTCTCTGGCAGACATAATATTATTATTTCCCACAATTGGCCTAGTGTGAGAGTGCCTAACTGTAGCTCAGCAAACATTTGATCTGTTTTAAAGTGCAGGCTGCACACTCCATGTGTATACATGATGTGGGGTGACAAGAAGGGAACTTTATAATCATTAGCACTTTAGAATTGAGGGAATTAGAACCTAAATCTCAAAATTAGCAAGCTATAATAACAATTACTGTATTGGTCAACTATCATGAAGAAAACATTATGCAAGACTCTATTTATAAGGCAGGTCTATATCAATCAAGGGAGCTCTGGTGGCCTAGTGGTAAGGAACTGGACTGCCAACCCAGAGTTTTGTGGTTTGAATCCACAAGCTGCTTTTTAGGAGAAAAATAGGCAATCTCCTCCATGAGATCTATTTCCTTTGAAAACCCACCGGAGAGTCACCTATATGAGTTGGTTCCAACTTGACAGCATGTGCACGTAACATATCAGTGCAAGCAAAATGAGACAAATGTCTGGAGAAACTTGACCCTTTTTCCTCCTCCAAATTCTGGAGTCCACCTAATTCCGGCCCAGACATTTATTGATAGAATAAAAAATTCAACTCACACAGCTATCTTTCTTCAAGAATTCTTGGATTCATTCATGAGCAGACTTCAAAGTCTAAGTTATTGTCATACTGTTTGCATCTTGTTTGGATCTGTTCAAACCAGAATCTAATGTGCTTATCCTTTCAAGTGGCATGCCTGTTCTAGGCTAGCACCCCTAGAACAGGATCAGAAAGGAACCAAATTACAGCACCATCTGCTACTCCATTTGCTGATGTCGTTTGGCCATTTTCCTGGAACAGGCAACAGACATCATAAAAGCAAGAACTTTTCCTCCCTTGTTCAAAAAGTTTATTCCTCCTGCTATACTATATCAATCAATGAGCATGAATCAAGACAAGTTAAATTAAAATGCCTCATAATTCAGAGACATTTACTATGGAATTTATTTCCATTTCCAGTTTAACAGTTTTTCCTCCTACTTTTTCTTTTCTTTTTCAGGTTTTCTTGGCTACAAACTCCTCCTCATCTGGTCCTGAAACAATGAGTGGGAAATCCCTGCTCTTAAAGGTCATTCTCTTGGGTGATGGTGGAGTTGGGAAAAGCTCACTTATGAACCGTTATGTAACCAATAAATTTGACTCCCAAGCTTTCCACACTATAGGGGTAGAGTTTTTAAACCGAGATCTGGAGGTAGATGGACGCTTTGTTACCCTCCAGATCTGGGACACTGCAGGGCAAGAACGTTTCAAGAGCCTAAGGACACCCTTCTACAGGGGAGCAGACTGCTGCCTCTTGACCTTCAGTGTGGATGACCGGCAGAGCTTTGAGAATCTCGGAAACTGGCAGAAAGAATTCATCTACTATGCAGATGTGAAGGATCCTGAGCACTTCCCCTTTGTAGTACTGGGTAACAAAGTAGACAAAGAGGATAGGCTAGTGACTACTGAGGAGGCAAAGGCCTGGTGCACAGAGAATGGGAATTATCCTTATTTAGAAACAAGTGCCAAAGATGATACTAATGTGACAGTGGCCTTTGAAGAAGCTGTCAGGCAAGTTTTAGCTGTAGAGGAACAGTTGGAGCATTGCATGTTAGGTCACACCATTGACTTGAATAGTGGCTCCAAAGCAGGCTCTTCATGTTGTTAAAAGTAAAGAATCTTTTAAAACATGTCCTTAATTGATCAGCCAGTAATGTAAGAATAACTGAGACCCTCTAAGGGTGCACACATACACAAAAGGTTAAGAAGTAAGGTTGTGATTGTGAACCAGAGCCTTTTAAATTAAAGTTGTAGAATGATTTTAAAAAAACAACAACCAAACACACACACACACACAAAAAAAACAAAACAAAAAAAACCCACCAAACTTTACCAAGCCTAGTGCATTTAGTGTGATTTCTGCTATTCCCACTTCCTGTGTATATCAGGACATTTCGTAAAACTTTAGTCCTGAAAGGTTGAAATATTTTTCCAATCACAGTGCATTGGAACCCAGAACCCTAGAACCCAGCTGCATGAAGAAGTTAAAGAGTTATAACTGTCACTTTAAGCATTAATCAACTAACATATGTCACCATCAGGCTCTTGCCAAGCAGTTTATGACATTTCTGCCATGGGGAGGGGAGATTCTGATCTGTGTTACAATAAAAACTACTAATTCAAATAAGAACATTCTAAGCTTGGATTAGAAAGATCCTATAATGATCAGATATGCAAAAATATAATAATGTACACTGCCTTGTTTAAATTCTTATGAATTTTTTGCTCCCTCTTGGAGATTTTGAAAAAAAAAAACAACACCACGTCAGTGAGAGATACATGAATGGCACTGAAAAATCTTCATACACCTTGTGCTTGAATTGACAGAGTACTAATGAATGAATTATGCATAAATGTGCCAACCACTCTCTGTAATGAATGGTTGGTTTGCTTTTACTTCATAAATCTACCTTTGCTGCATAGGGATGTTGCTTCTCTGACAAATTCATATTTAGCAATGCTGCTTAACGTATGGCTTTGTTCATAATTTAGATAATCCTTTGGGCCATTATGCTGGGCTCACAGAAAAGACTTCAGACAAGATTGGGGGATAATGGGCTTTTTTCACAAGGTTCCTTCACTTGAATATTTATTATAAAAGAAAGAATGAGTTTCTTGTATGTTTTACTGTACGTTCAACAAGCCACATTAAGATGAGTAAAGGTGGCAAGGGAACAGACTGTAACCTAGTGTTTGAATAAACTTTCTCCTAATTACAGTTGCCAAACAGTAGAATGGATTGCCTTAATCATGAGCTCCTCTCCATTGAGAATATTCAAGAATATGTTGGATGACCATCTAGTAAAATACCTTATAAGAATTTCTGTGCTGGCTAGATGTGTGGTTTGGGAACTCTTCCAGCTTAAAGTTCTATGAATCTACAAACTATGCTTCAGTGTCATGTTATCATTTGATCTTAAGATAACAAACATTTAAGACTATGGAGAGGGACTATAAAAATTCTCACTCCATTCTGTGATTAGACTTTAACAGAAGTTGCATGGTTATTCCTTTTGCTTTTACATTATGGCAGGAAAAATTCTTGAGTTCTGAATAATTCTTATGTACCCTAATGTAAACATCCTAAAGAAAACTTGATAAAAGACATAAATATATTTTCAAGTTTTGATTACCCTGACTGATAGTTATATACTATATTATGAACATGCCGTCTAGTTCCTCTTAGTGGATGTTGCTTCTTGTATAACTTTTAATCGTTACATTTTAACATCAACAGTAAAAGTAGTAACCCAAAGCTAAAAATGACCCCAAAAAGAGACCTATGCCAAGGAGGAGGTGGAAACTTTTATAGGAATACAGCTTAGAACTCTTCATTGTAGCCACATATGTAATCAGCCTTATACATGGGACCTTATGTGCTTTAAGAGCTATGGGACTTTTGGGCCACATAAACAAGTGGAAGAAGATATTTCAACCCAGTGATATACAATGTTTCCAATTAAGGTGTAGTCTTCATCCAATTGTCCAACTAACTTTTATGCAAGAAGTCAAAGCCAGAACTGAGACCCCCCAGAGCTCTTAATAATATGTCTTTAGCCAGCAACACTGGTTTCCAAGTTCTATGATCATTTTACTACAACCATGTTATGGTGAAAATCTGTTCCTTGCTATAGTGTTAAGAACTAATTGTTTTTAAGTGCATGAGACCTGAGGCCTTCTATTTCTACATGCACTATGCTTATAATAGTTCCTATATGTAGATCTCAGGCCTTTATAAAATTCTCCATCAATTCACAAAAGTACTTTTTTCTATTAGAACACCATGTAGTCATTAGAATTTAAAAAATCACGTGAGTATCCCATTCACAGTCCTTCTGTCCATCTAAGACAAACATTACTTTCATTGGCAGGTCAACTAAAGCACTTTTTCACTCAGCCATACCATTTTTCCTGCTTGTTTGCCACATCACTATACAATAGCTAATCAAAGCATTTAACATTAAGTGACAAAAAGTAGTGGGCATTTTAGCAAGTAATACTAAGTGGAGTGTCAGCATACAGATGAAATTCAAAACCAACAAAGGCTGAAATCTGTGAGCATCAGAAACAGTACTTAGAGTTTAGAGCTGACTGTGTACCATAGAATGTACAGTGCAATGTTTTCAGTGAGCATTTTTTAAAAAAACAAACACACACAAGACATTTTGAATAAGATATTTCTAATTAGAATTTTATTCCATTTTTCAGTGGTCCATTAATGCATCATGTAGTCATTTTCATGCACTGAGCTAATATTCAGGGGACTTCAGATTCTATATGTCTTCAGTGGATTGATGAATTTCAGGTTAATTTGTGCCTGCCTCAGCCATCTCTTCTTTATCCTGAGGTTTCCACAATCCTCTTGTTGCAGGTGCTGCTAAAAATATCAAATTTGTGTTTTAAGATATTTTGTTTCAACTATTGAAAAAGTCATTTGTGCTAAAGTGAATAAAACGTTCATTTTGAATGACCATCATACAATGTCTGTGCATCTTTCTCTCCTTTTCTGGAGAAAGTTGGGTGTGAAAGACAATATTTATCAATCAAGTCCTCTTTCTAGCTATGTGGCTTTGTTGTTGTTAGGTGCCATCAAGTCACCTAAAATTCATAGCAATTCTATAAACAACAAATTGGAAACTTGAACTGTCCTGCACAATCATCATAATCTCTTCCTTGCAGAGACAATTATTCTACTGATTAGAAAGAAAATTCAAATTATCAGGGTGGGGAAGATACTTTTATTTTATGCTACTTCCAATGATTGAAAAGTATCATGATTGGACATGGAAGTTTTACTTATTTTGCTTGCATGTGGCATTAATATCACATGCAAGCAACATACTGTTGATATCATTAAAAATAGAAGAAGATGGAACCCTCCCAGATTCATTCTATGAAGCAAACATATCTTTGATACCAAAGCCAGGAAAAGACAGCACCAAAATAGAAA